AATTTTCCCAACGCGATTACGAGATAATTTATGATTATAATTAATAATTTTCTCCATCTGTTAGATGGACATCACATGTAAAAATAACTACGTGTCAGCGGGCCGCAACAGTTATATGAGTTGTGTGTATCAGTTATCTTCAAAAGGAATACGACATTGACTATATAAATCTATAGTCAATGACTATATATAAATAGAGGCCTGTAGACTTTTCCACAGTGAGCCAGATAACTGAAACAATCAGAAGTTACAAGCCACTAATAATTATTTTCAGCACTTACAGGCCCAGGGCGTATACTTTCAAAAAAAGTAAAGAGATCGTAAGTTCATCAGCCAATCATTGACGGCCTTTCAAGCCAAATCCATCAATCATAGACAAGAAAATAGAGCGTAAGTACTTACGTTCACTTAAAGAGTTTTGAAGGTTGGCCCCAGGAGAGTCGTTATCAAGGATATTCAAGTGACCTCGTCTGGCCTGAAGAACTGAAGCCGCCGGCTTAATCTGCTTGACTGATAATTAAACGTACTGCCCTGACTTGTAATTATTGAACATGGTTTTTAGTGGCCCTCACATCTGAATGTTTCAGTTAAGCGTATTTTGTTTCGTTTAATGGCCTCATTAATGTGAGTTCGCTAACACGGAGGGTTATGTACTGATAAGGCCCTGGGTAAATTATACTATAACATATTAATTATAGGCGACAAATATTTATTTTTAATTGGGCTTTTAGCAGTCTGAAACATGTGCAAACGAAATAATAAGTACATCAGTGTATTTTAATGATGTTCTATTTGTGTGACGGAGATGTTCCACTTAGCCCCCGGTATTGAGGTGTCAACGTTGATCGAGACGCTCCCAGATCCAGGGCTCACATTAACATACACTACAAAGTCAAACATTGATTTAAGTCAGTTCTTTAAAAATTAAAGGGACAAATTTCCGGGCAAATTACACCAGTATGAATTCAAGCAAAGGTATTTAAAATGAATTTAACTTGGCAAAAGCATTCCACTCACTATGCTGTAAATTATTTTGTCCACAAATCGCTGGGATAGTTGTCGTTCCCCCAGTCACTTGCAGGAAGTCGTCGGCACAAACCCCGTTCTCATCGGGTTGAGCTAGAGTGAATTCCATCAAGTCTAAACGAATCTGGCAGATATTTTCATTGACAGGAACAACTGTTAGTTTGCAAGAACCAGGAGCAGTGGTTGTAGCCGATGGATATTCTGGATTCTGGAATAGCGTTCCGTTGACGTTCGTGGACGAGTCGCAATTGCGCGTAACTGCAAAGTCCAATTGTAAATAAATTTTTTGATTCCGAAGCATTAAATCATAAAATACTAATGGACTTTGTGACTATTTCAACATACGAGCAGCAACTTTTTAAGTTTCCTAATTTGAATGCATATCAATTTCAACTTCTCAATCACCTGATTCCTTTATTTTTAGTCGCGAAACACGGACAATTACTGGCAAGATCGCTAGTCACAATCTACCTATTGAGACTAATGCATCATAAATTGAAAGCAAGATAATAACGTTAAAAATTTTTTCAAATTTTATTACTGCATTTCTGGAATAATTATATTGGTTATAAAACAGCTTCATCTTACAGCTGCGCTTTTTGAGTATTGACTATTTTACCTTTTTATCAAATCTAATATCCATACCCTCTTTAATTAAGCAGCTTGCACCATTTTAGCATTTGAGCGCTTTGTTATGAAATTTTCGTCATAGTTAGAACTATTGGCTATCTTAAAAATATTTCAGGGTAATGGTTACTCACACGTGCAGCAAACTCCGAAGCCCGCCGCGCAGGTGCCGCTTGCGGTGCCCTGCAAGTTGGTGCAGTCGGTGGCCGAGTAACAAATTCCTTGCGTGTTGGCAGTTGTGGTGCATATGTCGGGAGAAATCGTGATGAACTGGAAGAGCGCTGAAAATGGAAGAGAGAGAGGTTATTCAAAAATCTATATGATGCTTAAATTTAAGTTTTTTTTTAACTAAACACATAAATCTTCAAAATTGTCTACAGAAAACTACAAGCGCATATAGAAGCGTCGTGTGAATCAATCATACAGGTAGAAGCTTAACCAACCGTCCCAGTTTATTTAATTATTTTAGTATAATTTTATGTCACTATCAATTTCCGCCAAACTTTTTCACCGCACTGGGTTAATTTAAAAATAATATTGAAGTAAAGAACATTTTTTGAACAGAGAAATCACTGTTCATCGAACTCTGTGCTCAATTTGCTCGTGTGCACCCTAACGTTATCTTTCATAATCGCTTCCAAAAGTTTTGACGAATACTTTTTACTGAATATTATAAGAATAAACTATATTTTTTCACGAGCCATTCTTTATGGATATGTTTCCAAACTTGGAATTGAGAGTGCATATTTGATATGCACAGGCTGAAAAATAGAAAACTCGAGGTCATTCAAGAATAAACGAAACTTGAGGAGCCCAATTCAGTGATTTCAAATAATATTGTAAGGAAACAGTAAATAATTGATAATGAAGTGAAGAATGTATGCGAGATGTGTATATGACCAAGGACATTTTTGATGATATCGAAATGTTTAGCATTTCATAGTGTTTTTATTATACTATGGGTATTTAGGTAGATGACAAAGAATTAGTTTGGTAATGTAAATTCATTACAAATGTTAAGACTCACGTCGAGGATCCCGGTCGTTCACATCGTCAATTTCCTGCGTCTGTTCCAGGCCTTCGATCTTCGCCGGCGTCGCTCGCCCGACCACAGCCAGCAGCGCCCAGCAGGCGATAGCGCACGAGTAATACTTCATAGTAAAGATTGTCATCTGCCCACGAAGGCAATATACTATAAATGAAATCAGATTTGAGAGAAGAAAAATACGAGATTATTCTAAATGAAGGACCCAATTTAAAAATTCGTATTTATTTAGGTATAAATTAAAACTGAATAATTTGTACACCGATGGGAAGAAAAAGATTCAAATTTTTCTTTACATGTTAATGAATGTTCAATATGTTAACATTTGTGCTGCAACTCGAGCATCTAAACGGTAGCCAAACTCGTCCAACACACGAGAAAGCATATCCTCTGTTACTAAGTGCACCGTCACAGTGATACGGTTCTTCGGATCACTCCTAGTGGGATCAACCACCTCTACCAGCAACTATTTCGGAGTTGCGGGTATAGAGGCGGGAGGTAAACAAAGTTGCTGTAGAGGCGGGACGTAAACAGAGTTGCTGGTAGAGGCGGGACGTAAACAGCTTCTTTGACGTAACCCATAAGAAATAGTCGCATGGGTTGAGATCAGGTGAACTCGTTAGCCAGAAGTGTAGAGCCAGATCTTCATTTCCAAGGCGTCCTACCCAACGCTCAGGTTGACATACTAGGTTCTTCAGGTCCTATCCAACAACCGCCCCCGAGGCCGCCCAGTTCCACGTTTAAAAAGTTAAAAATAATGCGAAGCTTTTTCTTTCCATTTGTGTATAAATTATTCATTGAAATTTATATTTGAATATATACTAATTTATTAAATTGGGTCCGTCATTTAGAATAAGCCAATACATGAAATTTGACAGTTTCTGCAAAACAGAGCCTGTATTGAGTCTTCGTACCAATGTGTTATGCATTGAATAAAGGCCCTATCATATCCTAGTTAAGCAAATTAAGCAAAGAACTCCCTATCAAATCCCTTTCTTTCAATTTTTAAATTTTCAGGATAACAATGCAGGTTTATTAATATATCAAGTTAATTATAATTATCTTTTGTCAATCTCCCTCTTCTCGTTTTCTGAAATTCATGTTATTGTGACTACGCGCCGAAAAGCCCCTGCATATTCCCAGCAACACAGGTGCGCATATTCAAAATTTCTCAAATATACAGTATAATAAGTGAATAAAACAATAGCTGCATTACGCTGTCCACAGTTCCCCACCTCTCCAGACCACAGTTTGCCTGTCGTCCAATTGGCGCGCAAACTAAACGCAAACTGCGTCGCACTCCTAACGCCGCTTGGTTTTATAGCGGCACCGTTGATGTTAAGAATCATCGTATTCCCCTGACGTGTTGCAAAAGTCTACGATAGCTTTGTTAGGGAAGTATATGATTTACGGGGTGACTCCAGTAGCATAATCAATAGAACCAGAAAAAATCTATCCCATAAACGATTGTCTGACGTGTTGCAAAATTTTTTTCTTCAAACTTGCAGCGATACTAAAACATTCAAAATGCGAAATATATGTATAATTTTTCAATTAAACTTCTATCTATAATTTTTTTCATCGTGGTTGCTTCTTCTTGGCATCCAAATTGTTGATAGATCACATACTGTATAGCATAATAACATCACTATAATAATTGGAATTGCATCCAAATTTCTGGTTCAATGTTCACACTTTTATTTTACGCTTAAGGTTGGAAAGCAATCGGTCAGCGAGAAAGCGCACGGTCCTTCTAGGGACTTACGAGCTCGTTCAATTGTATTTCTGTTTAATCGCTGTTCAAATTGTTTTCTTCTACTAATGAGTAGCGTATGAAACACATTTTGTATCGATAAAAAATATTATTCACATACTGGAGAAATAACAAGGATTAATATAGCTGAATGTCTTTCCTATACTCATGAAACTATACACCGATTCCAAGTGAATACATGTCTTAGAGTATAAACCAAACATGAACGATCTAGAACTTCTTCAATTGTTGTTGTTCTCCTCAGTCACATTTCCTCCTTTACGCCAATTTGACGCAGTAATAATGAAAAATCTAAGCGAAAATTTATCTCTGAAGTGACTAGAACGCAAACCATTCGATAAAAATTGACCATCAAGTTTAAGATTCTCTCTGCGTTAGAATTTGCTCAGGAGTTGCCTAAGGCGTAAATGCTGTTCGGTGCTTGGTCATGTTGGCCTTTGACAAACAGTGACACCGATTTTGGCCTATGTAAAATGAACTAGAAAGTTCAAAGCAATCCCTTGGAAAGCTCCGAGTGAGCTGGACTGGAGGGAAAGGATTCCTTTGAAGAAAGTCGGGTGAATCTTTGCGTAGTTTCATGCTCAGAACTTGAACACAGGATATGAATGAACACAGGTCACATGCACACAGGATATTAATTAATCTCCATAAGGTGCAATTTGGAAATCTAGAATGCTAAGTGAATATTTCTAAAAGGGTCTTCAACTGCCTATTATTCCAGTTAAAATTTGAAGCATGACAACCAATTCATTGGCGATGAAAGCATTTTGAAGATTGGAAGCAGCGTCAATAAAATTTTAACCTAACACCAAAATGTTAACAAATTTTTTACCTAAAAAATGTGACAGACGTGCCCTACCTGATCGCCAGCAAATAAAAGTACCGTCCTGTTTGAAAAGATAGGCCGCCTGCCCATGACGACCGTGGCGCGCATTAACGCGTTTGCTGAACCCAAATACATGGCTATATCTAGATTCCTGTTTAGAAGACAATTAAGAATTTCGTGTAAATTAAATCAATAACTTAACTCGACGTATAGTAAATATTCTAGTGAACAACAATGAAATTACACGATAATTTAACTAAGCAAGGAAAATTTTATGAGATAAACAACACGATTGCATCGCTGGATCTTAAGCATTTAACTTGAATATATAAAGTTTATGGCTCAGGCAATACTTTTAAAGGTGAAACTATTTCGGTCACGATGCTTCTGAGATATAGAATTTCGTTACAAGAAAGAAATATTTTTCAGTGCAACCTCACAGCAAATATGTGTTACTTTGCTCGTCGTTTCTACAAGGAAATTGAAATTAATTCGATTCCAAATCTGCAGGTACTGGCTTTCTCTCATGCTAGTTAGTAAGAATTTAAGAGTATAATAATGATAGGATATTGAAACTGCTATCTTCTCTATCTTTTGCTTCACAATCATCAAAGCTTAGGTTCCAAACTTTTATTGCCAGATAAGCCACACGGTTCCGTCTGTCATCACATACATCATCTAAGCTTATAGCGGCGCTTTGTTTCTGGTTCATTTCTACAATAAAACCGAAGATCAAAATGAAGTTGCACGAACAGCAATGATTCTCGTGCACGATTAATGACATTTTCGGCGTGCTGTCAATCCCACTTGTGCTAGTTTTAAATTTTTCTATAAATGTTATACAACCTAAATTTTTCATCTTCAGTCGCAGTATTCAACGTTTTGTAGTCGTTGAAAGTTTTGAAAGTGAATTGAAATCCGATTGCAAAGAGTAAATTTTGGTGGCATGACAAAAAATGAACTGGAATGTTTCTATTTGTATTGCATTTCTGAATGAAAAGTGAAATAAAATACAGAGTAACAACTTTATACTCAATTTCAAACTAGAAGAAGCCTGAACTAGTTACTGATTTCATATTTGAATGCCCTAATGTTAATGGGCATAATGAATTCCATAACTTAACACTTCTATAGAGGGTGACGGCTTTCAAAATGAAAAATGAACTTCACTGCTCAATTGTCAATCTACTCGGGAAATCCTGAAAACAACAAAACATCAACAATTACGGAACTTTATTTAACAAGGCAGCATTCTGTAGTCGATGGAAAAGCCCACGTTGGGGCCATCTCTGTATGTCTCATTTACATAGCTGGCCTCTAGCCCGTCAGTGACCACGTAGAGCACGAACGGCTGAACGGAGGCTGTCAGGAGAAGAACACAAGTTAATTATCATCATCACAAAATTTTGTCGCTGAAAAAAATTTTTCTCTGTAGAAAATGAGTTTCATTAATTGTTGAACTATTGCTAGAAGTTTAACGAGGACGTGCTTGCAAAAGATAAACCCCGAGATTTATGCATCTCCAATCAAATTTTTATTTACAGCTACTGTAGTCATTTGAATAAATTTGGTTCATGCGAAAAATGACAATAAAATTCTCATCGAGCAAATATTATTCTATTAATCTCCCGTCTCAAAAAGGTAATGAACATAAAACGGATTCTGGATAAAAAATGGAAACTCAATAAAATAAACCTGTTTACTAAAATTAATTTATAGTAAATGTGGCTGTAAAATATCTAAATAGACATTTTGCAGGTTAATGTCGAAATAAAATTTCTCTAATGAACAAGTCGTGTATCACAAAACACTTTATATATAGTGGAAATTTTTATATTCTCTTTAGAATAATTAGAAAAACAATCAGCAGGTCAAACTGTCTTTAAATTCATCAAGCCTCACATCTTAATCAAGAACTATATATCCCTCCTCCGATGAGAGTTCGCACTTTACAGCATGCCTTTAGTAAACGTAGATTTTATTATACCTTCATACATTAGTCAATTCGCAATTAAAGAAGAAGCCTTTTTACACTGTATTAACTTAATTTACTTTCTACTTCCATGTTGGAAATATCCTCACTCTCTTTATTATTTCAAACGGAGAACCGATTTTTCACCAATTTGGCCCGTTCACATTCCTACTTACTTTCAACTTTACTCGGGAAGTTTGCGCCGCAGTAGCGATCAGCGGTGGTGACTGCGTAGTTTGGGTCGTGAATTACACCCTTAGGTATCATCACATAATCTGTGGTGCAGTCTGCACTGCCAACCGCTGGAAGGATAGTTCCTGCAGGTTGGGTGTCCATACAATTTTTTTATACATAAAAATGGCTTAAATTTACAAACTTGTGAATTTACTCCTGTCTCGTTTCTTTTAAACTACGGGCTTTACTAGCTCGACACTATTCGCGAGAAAAAATGTACAGAAGTTTTCAGCGACATTGAGAGTGTAAAATTAAATGTAACGTGATTGCGATGGCGGTCTTCTTGGTCATTGAATGTCTGTATGTGCCTCAAAAGCCTCATCAGCGAAAGAGAATGTACAGTCGTAGAATTTTTCAATTTACTCGCCTGGGAGAACAATGCTTGGGTCACCAGTTAGTGAAAAGGAGTAGTCATAGAAGAGCGAGTAGAAGTACTCAGTTGATTTCGTATAGACGACGCTGCAGTAGCCCAAATGCGACTTGATGCAGACGCCGTACTCTTGGTTTGCCAGCTGCGTAGTATCTGTATTCGAGGTATACGTTTAGGATATAATAAGTGTAATTAGAGCTAAATTTCATCGAATAATACTTTCTGGAATCTTTTTTCGAATTCATTTATACTCTTTCAATGATATAAACAGTTATTTAAATGTGAGTTAAGATTCTGTCTAATATTATACAAAGTACTATTAATGTTATTTTAATTTGAGTAATTGGTAGATGTTACTTACAGAATAGCCATATTGGTTTTTCAAATTTCGTTTTTCAGTCAAATACCACACTCATTGACAATAGCCGGATTGGTTACTCTAACAATGCACAAAAATTAATGCGCTACTGTAACTCATTTTGATGCAATGCACACAAAATGATACAAATTCCACCAACCTAAATTATTCATGAAATTCGACAATATATCCAGGCAATTTGTTAGAAATTCAGTAAAGTTCCGAGCATGGCTTTTAAATTCCTGCAAAATAATGCGAAAAATGCTCATTTCAACGCTTCAAATTTTCACTTAATTGACAGACAAATGTCTCTGAAAATTTCTCCCAAGGATATGTCTTGAAGGCCTTCAGCAGATTGCTGCTGCGAACTAATAGACTTTATTATAGACTTTATTTAATACCCAATGGTGCTGTTCCGAAGCGGAATGTCGTGGCGTCGTAGTTGAAGCTTTTGATGGTTCCATATGTGTTAGTGAAGTATTGAAGGCAACCTGCCGGAGCTGTCGATGAAAGTAAAACATATGTCATACAAACTAAAAGTAAATAGGAATTATGCCTATTGAAATAAATCCATGTGTATCTGATGTCAAGAATGCACATCTAATTTCCGATGTCTTGATACATTTATCACACATGTGAGATTTTTCAATAACTATCCTGAATCGTTCGACCAATCTTTTAAATGGATATTGAGTTGTTGTTTGACAAGGTTTCCAATTGCTATAATGGTTAGCAAGCATTTCAAAAATTGATTATGATTATTCATAGTACATTCTCCAGTAGAAAATTCATACATGCAACTATTTAAATGGATAAAATATAACCCCCACCTCGATACGGGGAGTTACACTCTATTTGTGAGACGGCGATGCTCCACTTCGCTCCCGCTGCTGATGTATCAACGTTGATCGTCACGCTCCCAAAATCCGGTGTGACTTCAAGATACACTAAAAATAAAACCTGCATTTTAACATCTTACTACATTAACCATTAGAATTCTCAATTTAAGTGTAAACAGCCCATATACATGTACTCGAGCGTCGCAAGTTAGTTAAAGTTAATGTAGTACAGCAACAACATTCTACTCACGATGCTGTTCCGAATTTAGTCCACAAATTTGAGGTATGTTCGTCGCTCCCCCTGTCACAAGCATGAAGTCCTTGACACATACTCCATCTATATCAGGCTGGGCCAACAGAAATTCTGTCAAGTCCAGGCGAATCTGGCAGATATTGCTGTTCACAGGATAAACTTTGTGTCTGCAGGAATACTGAGGAGTTGTTGTGACCAAAGGATACCCAGGATTCTGGAACGAAGTTCCATTGATGTTCGTTGATGATTCGCATGTGAGTGGAACTGCAAATGTAATGAACATATGTTGATTAAATAAGTAATCGTATTGATGACCTTTTCTTCGAGATACCATTAAAATCATCAATTTTAGAATTTTTAGTAGGATTTGTTCCTCTCTTGATCAGTTTCATCTGTTCTGTTGATTTTTCAGTTGAATAACTTAAGTAATTTTACTCCCATCACATCATTTGTCGCATAACATTTAGTGTAATTAACGGCATACTAATTTCTTCAAATTATCTAATTAAATTATTATTTTTATAATACACTACTTCAAATTTTGTTTAAAAACGTTAAAATATTAAAATAACTGTGAGTTTATTATTTCTTATGAGATACTTAATCTTGATATTCCTAAATATTGCAGTCGAAAATTCCCATTCAGTTGAGTCAACAACCTGAACGATTAAGAAGAGATAGAAAGAGATTTTTTCTTAGACATTCATCAAGGGATAACCTATGAAACTTAGTAGTTTTGAGGCCCCTAATAAGGTATAGTGTCGTTTTCCTTCGAATACATTATATTTACATATCAAACTGTATTCATTAATGATTTGTATTCACTTGGCAAATCTAAGTTAAGCTTACAACAGCACCCGAAAAATAAATTAGCAATTATTTTTAAACCGTTTAAGATTAAGAAACATCAGAAAATTTCTAGAACTTTGTTTTGCGATAAAAAATGGAAAACAACATAATAGGAATGATAATATTTTTCGACTTCTTTTTAAAAAGGTCATGGTTTTGTACAGGTACACGAGAAGATGACAAGACTAACTTTGACAGTCATCAACAATTTTACAACACTGTTCCACTGCTTCGATGTTTGATGGAGTCGTAGCAGCCATCATCACCAAGCAGACGACGACACGCGTGTAAGATTTCATGGTGAAGCAGGATATTTTGTGCAGGGACGTTATATATGCTAAATTAGTTGCCTCATTAGTTGAAAATCTGTTGAAAAATTATTATTTAACAGGGGATTGAAAAAAATTAGCACTTGGATTTAAAAAAGCAACACTTCGATTTAAAAATATTATGAGTACCGATCAGTACTCGAATAAATCCCGAGTATTGGTGATGGTGGTATTCGTGAACTTAATTCGAATATAAAATCATTTTTTCTGTCTTCACTTTTCATGAGGACACTTTTTTGGTCCACACTTCTTTTCACATTACTACAATGTAGCCTATATAATTTCCAGCGCGTTTGTGAATACAAGGTGTGCGTAACTTTCAGTTCAGTTTGGTCTACACTTACTCGCTTGATTTTTAAAGCGAGATTTTTCAGAGGTCAATGTCCCAGCAATTCTATTCAAAAATCCCACTGCATGTGTCAAATTTACTGTTTAGAACTATTTGACATTTAAATTTTTAGAAATTTTAATCAATTCCACTAGACTACTAGACTACTTAATCAATTCCACTAGACTAACTAATTCACTGCGTTCAATGCCAGTAAATATTATTGCAATACTCTCTTCATATAAGACGCAATTTCGACAAACAAATCATGTAGAAGGCAGCTGGAAATTTTCCCAACGCGATTACGAGATAATTTATGATTATAATTAATAATTTTCTCCATCTGTTAGATGGACATCACATGTAAAAATAACTACGTGTCAGCGGGCCGCAACAGTTATATGAGTTGTGTGTACCGGTTATCTTCAAAAGGAATACGACNCATTATGAAAAGGTCTGCTAATGAAACAATGTCCCTCAAATGAGTCATATCGACTCACTTTCAGCTGACTACTCATTCCTGCCATTCAATCATTTGTGGGCCACCGAAGTACGTTCTAGAACGACAATTTCACTTGGTTTTTCTTCAATTAAGTGTAAATCAACCCTAATCGCACTGCATGTCGATGTACATACGTGCAATATCAAGTAGTCTAAAAATATACAATAGTTTACCGCAATGACGGTCCGAAAATATAGATAAAAAGCTCAACACCCTTTGAGTAAAATGCGGCATTTATTCAATTGTTCGATATCAGAGTTTCTGGAGCGCTAGCTTTGGAACTGATCTTTCCGTATTGAAGTAAATAAGAACATTAGCATTGCATGATTGGTCTTCTATTCATGTAAAATAATTAAACTTCAACGGCAAGCTTATTTAATTTATTTTATTTTTTGTCAACACTCTGACATCCACGCCTGTTCTAGCTTTTTATTTATTACTTTTTTAGAATAATTAAATTACATATCAATTATTATTCCCGACTATTTTCGCCTGATAACCTCATGTAAGCCGATTGCTTGCACTCACTGAGTTGAAACTTTTCTTCATAATTGTTGACCTTTGTTAATCGTTATAAACAGCTTTTCAATTATTATTTAGTGCAAATACGTCCTCCGGGATAAACAGTTTCATACAAGATTTAATTGCAACATAGAAAAATATGATAACTCATAAATTCGTCACTTCTTTCACAAATGAGTGCTGAATTTTCACCTCATGAAATATATTATAAGTAAACATATCATTGAACCGGTGCAGGTCTTAGCATTCATGTGCCGCTAGGACAACACAGCTTCAATGATTCCGGCGCTTCAATTAACAAGCTTGCATTCTGTAGTCGACGGAAAAGCCAACGTTGGGGCCATCTATGAGTTGACTGTCGGCATAAGTTGTTTCTTGTGCGTCAGTGACCACGTAGAGCACGAACGGCTGCACGGAGGCTGTCAGGAAAAAGGTGTGATATACATATGTTTGTTTGGGTGAAATGTGCTTCTCCGTATAAATCTAATAAGGTTATTTCATGTGAAAAACAGGAATTTACATAAGCCTGAAAATGGGTTTTAGAACTTAATTTCTCGGCACTAACTTTCTACTTTACTGGGGAAGTTGAAGCCACAGTAACGATCAGCGGAGATGACTACGTAGTTTGCATCCGTTATGGTACCGCCGAGGATCATCAGGTAATCTGTGGTGCAATCTGCACTGCCAGCTTTACCGGGAAGAGGATCACCTGCAAAAGAGGAATTATGGCTATATTTTCTTCTTAGGTCAAAGCTCAATGGAAGAACAGGATACGCAAGCATGACGCCCAACTTGAGAATCGTTCAAAGAAAATGTTTTCTCATGGGAGTTAAGACAAGAATCGAGGGAATTCAAGGGATTTCAATAACTCTCCCTATATATATATTAGAGAAAGATATTTCGTCAATCACGAAGATTGCATAGACGTGGAATGTTACACACCGGGAGGATAGATGCTCGCGTCCCCAGTCGTGGAGAAGGTGTAGTCATTGACCAACCCGCTTGTTTTCTTGTAGGAGACGCTGCAGAAGCCAGACTGCGGCTTTATGCAGACGCCGTATACCTGACTTGCCAGCTGCGTGGTGGCTACATAATTCGTAAGTTAAAAAAATATCAAGTGGATATAAAACAATTTGAATCAAATATTCCCTTTAATATTTTACCAGAGAATTCCTTCATGTAACTTCGGAGTTGCCAACAGTAATTCAATGGATCCGAGACCAACCTCATTTCCTGTGATCAATTTATTACTTTTTTTCTGCTGCTTTTCCGCTGCTTTTTTTCCTGAAAAGCCTTACGCAATGGTAAATTATAATAACAAGAAATGAATGTTTCATTTCAGTTAATAAAAAAAACGTTTAAATCGTTATTTATTATTATACTAACAATGAGCTTGAATGAACAAAAGGCGTTCACGAATCTACTACCACCATTCTTCATGAAGTAAATACTACTTTTGACAAAAAATGCGAAAGACAACCATGATTTTCCTCCTATATAGTGTTTCAAATATATTCAAAAAGTCTTAGAAAAGCATATACTTCTGAACCTACCCGTGGGTGGAGTGGAGTTCGGGAAGGTTGTAGCGTCGTAGTTGAAGCTTTTGATGGTTCCCTTTGTGTTGGTGAAGTACTGGAGGCAGCCCGCCGGGGCTATCGTGTGGAATTATGCAAAAATATTTCAACATAAGCTACACTCAAGATAGCATTAAATAGATGAAAAATCTGAAGTGCACACCATCATAATTTCAAGATATTATTCGAATGAGCCATCAGCATCAGAAGAATTTCTCATTATAGACGGTTAGAAAATCGTTTCTATGTACAGTAAGGTTGACTCGTGAATCTTGTGATTAGGGATCGGATTTTTATCCATATAATTTCCAATATACACCTCAGTAAGTTAACCTAGTCATTTAAACGTACATCAGAAAATATATAAAATTGCTGAAGCAACTGAATACATTTTCACGGTTGGTGTACTGAATTAATATAGTTCATGACACGCAACAGAAATAGGTGCATATGCATATACCGATTTATGCATGAATTTCTAATAATAGACAGTTCTGAATGCACCTCTGTTTTCAGAGTTACATTCTATTTGTGTGACGGAGATGTTCCACTTTGCCCCCGGTGCTGAGGCTACAACGTTGATCGTCACGCTCCCGAAGTCTGGACTCACATCCACGTACACTGCGAAATAAATTATAAATTTTATGATTTGGCTGCGGCTATTGAAGTGTACTTGTTAATTGTAAGAAGTTCGTCATTGGTACTCAGGTCCAATCAGAAAAACAGGTCCATTTTCCAATCAGAAAAAAATAAAGTCGCAGAAACATCATTCAACTCACAATGTTGGCCAAAATTTTCTCCGCAAATCAATGGTGTGTTCGTGACTCCCCCAATAACTTGCAGGAAGTCCGTGACACACTCTCCCTCTATGTCGGGCTGGGGAAAGCTGAAATCTGTCAAGTCCAGACGAATTTGACAGATGTTGCTGTTTACAGGATAAACCTTGAGACGGCAAGCATCGAGGACAGTGGTTGTAGCTGCAGGATACCCGGGATTTTGGAACAAAGTTTGACTCACGTTTGTTGACGACTCACAACTGCGCGAGACTGTAAGTTCGATTGAGAATAAACATTGAAACAGTGAATCATTTTGCCTGGATTTGAGTAATTTGCGGATTATTAACCCACCCACGAATAATGAAATCTCTTCTTATGTCAATGTATATGAACTAGATACTGTCGCAGTCAACAAATATGTTTTACATGAAGGCCCTCAACAAATATTGAAAGCCTTACATATTTACATGAAGGCCCTCAATAAATATGTTTTACATGAAGGCCCTCAATAATAATAATGAGCTAAGAAGGCTTAGAGAAGACACATAAATAGTTTAATGTATTTGTAAATAACAGCTGAAGTCCGAACGATTAAGAATATACTCAACCGCAAGAGTTAGAGATGAGCAGGAATGTTTAGGATTAGTTAGAATTAGTTCTTTAATGCTGTCGAAAATTGAGTTAGAGAAGAGGATGGGAGGAGGTTCAACTGACTGAGGGAAATTCAACTGGTGCTGAGGGGAGATTCAACTGCGGTCGTCGTGTCTAGGCTCGTGACGTTTGCTATATACGACTTTAAGCTCAGTGCATTAGGAATGAGAGTTCCACCTCGGCGGCAGAACAGCTATGAGATTTTTTTTCAGAAGAATCGACCACAGGCGGCGAGCTAGTTTGGATGCTTTTGCCATATGTACGCCAAAAACATCCTTAATACCATGAGACTTTTAGATAAAAAAGGAAATTTTTGGCAGTTATGGAGAAGACAGAGCAATTGAAAGAGGTAGTCGTCGGAGCAGCAGGTGCCATGGTTACAGGTACGGCTATTGCAGTAATACGCAATCATAGCGCTCTACAAGGAATTGCACTTCGAATTAACGTATCCCGTAAATAAGGAAAGCGTGAAGAGTATCGCTTGAGTATAGATAAAATTATAAATGTTGTAACCTATTTGAATGTCTCTGTTCCTTAACGGATATGTCGTTCTTGCTAGGATGTCCTCCAGGTTCACTTCGATATTTTTAATGCTAGCTATGTTTTATTTCGACACTCTAGTACTCGAGTGGGCACGATAAATTTTTAGAAAATATTTTTGAACGTGCGTCTAACGTCTCGGTGACTACAAGCTACCTAAGTGAATTTTTTTAGTGCTCCGGAAATGCAGAAAAATTCTAAAGGAGAGATTTTGAAAATATGAGATTCATATCACAAGAATAAAGATTCGAGCCACGTCCCTTGTCAAATTATATTTTTAGATCCCAAACTCTGTCAATTTGAAATTCAGCAAATAAATGTACGGTTATTCAGAACGAAATTTATTTTTGGTTTAAAAGTCGTGTCTGATGATTAGCGCAAATAAAATTTCCTCAAGATAAATTTTTGTTTTATCCGACCGCCTGCCTGACAAGATGTTTTATCCGACCGCCTGAACGGTGACTTTCTTGTAATCTTGGTGCTTGTTTAGCTTGCTAAATTATATCTATTACCGTTAGAACTATTGAGAGACTCAATATTACATTAAATTTGTTTTATTCACTCACATGTGCAACAAACTCCGAAGCCCACCGCGCAACTGCCACTTGCGGTGCCCCCCAAATTTTTGCAGTCGGTTGCTGAGTAACAAATTCCTTGAGTGTTTATGTTCGTTGTGCAGCTGTCTGGGGTAATCGTGAAGAACTGAAAGAACACTGAAAAATAAAATATGAAAAATCATTCGAAATTTTCATGCAGCTTCAGTTCAGAATTTTCTCTCAGTGTATAAATTTTTGCATAAAATCTAGAAACTAACTGAAACTGCGTTATAAAGCACAGCACGTGGTTCTGACAAAAATATTATCAATCAACCTTATCCGAGAGTCACTGGTAACTTATTTTATTTATTCAATGCCGATCCAATTAGTAAAGCTTAGTATTATTAACAATAGCTAGCACTATGAAATGTAAACAGTCAATAGCGCACTATAATGTAACACATGCCGTGCTCTGTGTTATATATAACAATGTAACATGAGCCTGTTCAGCGGATGTGCGAAAATCGCGTAACCGTTATAATTCCTCAGACTTGATTGCCTACCATACATTTTATTCGTAATAAATTAATTAGTGCTATCTTGTCCACTTTCATATTTTTAAATAATATTTCGACATAACGGGGAACTTGGAGTGTTTGGACGCGTGTCTGTCGATTTCAAGCAGCCGATAACCTCAGCTGGATGTTCTTATAGCATATATTTTATAACGCATCGTGCTCAATGTTCTTTATATACCCAGTACATATGCAATTCATTTTCCATAATTGGATGTTTGGTTGAGCCACCGATTATATTATCAATAAACGAAATTTTCCTTGACAAGAATCTTTAGACAAATCTTTAGACAAATTTCTGAATGGCAATTGTACATGAAGGTACATAAAGCGTCCAAGCTAGTTTATTTAAATTTCGTTTTTACTGAGTGTCTTCATAAGATTTTATAATGTAAGAACGAAAAATTTTGTATACCCCAATTCATTATATTTCAGAATTATTTTACAAATAATCTTCTATCGTCGTAAGCAAAATGTAAAAGCTTCGGGCTTATTTACCCTGGCATGAGTCGTATATGTAAATCTAAATGATTTTATGTTAAAGAAATATTGGGTATTCGAATGCGGAAAATCCTAATTGCTTAGATATGTTGGGAATATGACTAGGGCTTAGTATGATGTAACGAATGCATTTCACACGTTAATTAAGACTCACGTCGAGGTTCTCTGTCGTTCACATCACCAATTTCCTGCGTCTGTTCCAGGCCTTCGATCTTCGCCGGCGTTGCACGCCCGACCACAGCCAGCAGCGCCCAGCAGGCGACAACACACGCGTAATACTTCATAATAAAAAAGGTTACCTGTACATGAGGGCAATATACTTCAAATTATTTCGGTCATAAGAGAAGCTGGCTGAAAAATTAGTCAGTTGGTTAGGTTGTGTCAAGGTTTCTTTAGATAAAAGGACTTGAGATTGCTTTCATTAATTCATGGAAAGACTATATAATGCAGATAATATACCAAGATTCTTTCGCCGAGCTTATCTTTTCTTGTTCTATAAAATATTAGGCAAAAAATTGCGAAACAGAATTCATACACGAAATTGAAGTTCCTTATTTAGCATAGATATTATCAAAGCTAAAGAGGGTTATGCCATTAGAATCTTGTAAAATTTTTACGTTCATTGTGCTCATGTTGTGCAAGATTGTGAAACAAATATATTTCTGGTAGTAATCTTGATATGACATTAAGTGCGAAATTCTTCAGATGCCATATGCATTTATACCAATTGATCAAACAGAGATGAATATTAAATTCAAATTGTTAGTATTCAATGATACGACACTTTAGGACGATTTGTTCCGGTGGATTATTCTAACTAAAACTGATTCCATTATATTATTTATGGACAGCAGCAATTCGTCCGGCCCCGAATGCAGTGCCACTTGTGATTTATTACAATGGATTATTCTAACTAAAACTGATTTAATTATTTATTTAAAAACATCATCAAGTCGTCCAGCTTGCGAATGTGACATCTTCAAACCGCAGTTTGTCTGTCGTCCAAAAAGTGTGCCAGCTGCAAGCAAACTGTCGTCTCGCTCTCGACAATGGGTGTCTTTATAGCAGCACCATCAACGCTCGGTGTACGTAGATCCAATACCATCTAATTCATTTGGTTGTTTGCAAACTCTTCCAAAGATTGATTTGTTGAACCAACACAATTTGCCCCTATGAGCAAAGTCAGCAAACTACGGACAACATGTTTTTGTTCGACATTTTTTTCTTTTATTAAACGAAATGCATTCATACCATTCAGTTAAGAGGCAGAAGTACGAGTTTATGTTGAAATCTTTACATTTTATGGGTTATTTTTCTATGTCATTCCATGGCTCAACCATCCAGAGGAGAATGTTGTACATGTTAGAATGCAATGTTAGAAAATTTAAATATGAAACTTTCTGTCTCAGAGTTTTTCATTTGAACATGGTCGTGATTGTCTCATACCACCTGCATGAAACGACCAATGTTTGGAAAATATCAATTGGCTCGGAAGTTTCCAATTCTGTGGTGACCTACAAGCAAGTTCAACTGCATGGTCAATGACAAGTCGACTAGTTCGTTATTTCATTAAATTTGGCGCCCGGTGATCACTATTTTGATCAATTTGACGCCCGGTGATCACTAATCACAAACAATGATAGTGCATAGAAGTTTTTATAATAACAAATTTGTCTGATGACATTTGTTCAGATATCATTATTGGCTATCAATGCTGAAAGCTGATTTTTCTCTCATTCCTGTTCCATTGTCGACCACGTTTTTTATCTGCTTGAGGATATATTTTATAATGGTAGGAAAATTTTAAACAATCTGCCTCAGTAACTGTGATTGATTTTAATATTTCTTTTTTTCATACTATGTCGTTTCCGGAAGGATTCATTGTTCGAAGCATTAGCGTCAGCCCCCATCAGAATTGAGTGAAAGGCATATAAATTTGTTTGGTCCCTTACATATGATCTTCACCTATGCAGCCAACCCACTATCATTGCAACTAAAGTGCCCAGCGGAAATTAGCTTTCTGTAGTGAAAATAACATCCTCCGTTGGGGAAGGAGAGAGCGGTGTTTAGTGAAAGAATTTCTCCGCAACAGAATTTACTGAAGAGTTTCTTGAGAGTTTTAACGCGGCTCTTCGCGTGAGCTTTTTAGCAGTTGACAAATAGTGACACCGATGCTGGTCAATTGAAAATAAACTAGAAAGTCCCGAGCTATCACATTGAAAGCTGGAAGCTAACGCTGGTCTCGCATGGAGGTATTCCTTAAATCGATAAATTGGGTAAATCGATAAAGTTGATAAAGTGGGCATTAGACGTAACCCAATAAGTTATAATCTTATGAGAAGACTTTAATGTTTAACATAAAGAACCTCCAAACTCAATCATCCCAAGAACGCTTCCTTGTGGCACGCCACTGCGCACTGTTGTCCAGCCTGACACGGTTCTGTAGTGACTCGATCATAACTCGCACTATCATTTCTTGTGAATGTCGTAATTAGTTTATCAACTCTTCAAACTCGTTAATCACCAATTTCTATAGCTATTCACAACTTAATTAACCTAGAAACTTGCCACTTACTTGCTATGTGGTCAATTCAACTTTTGAATAATCATGCAAACATTTTGTCAAGAGATATGGTCAATTTTCTAGCACTAATAATATTCGTATGATTTTTGTGTTACAGTATAGTTCGATATACGACAAACATACTTTTTATATTTAATTCGATCACTCGAAAGTTGTGATTTTCGTTTAGAACGTGCTAGCGGACAGAGCTAGAACCATACGGTAGAATCACTTTGCTTTTTCACGTCGACGTGTTAATATCTCCGGGGTTACGGGGTAAGCTGCTCAGCTGATTGCTAAATTTAAATTCAGATATTTGTGATTGAATATTTCAAAGTATAACCGTCAGAACTATATCATGGCTTGCTCTCAATATTTCTTAATATTGTTTTCTGCTATTTTATGTCAGTGTTATGCTTAGTCAACCTTCTGAATCAAAGTCATTAGCTATTCAACCTCATAATATCTGAATAACCATTTGTATTAATTATCTCTTTAAACATTAATATTCCATTTTTGTTCATGTCATGTTTGTATTATAATGACCAACCGCCCGCAGGTGTTGGTCGTGCCGTCATATAATAATAATAATAGCGGTTTCAGCGTTATTAGGCCGTAGGCCTGTCGCCGATTCCTAACATCGCAGAACATTCACAGCATTTTGCGGTCTCGAACTCGCAACTCATTGCTACAATTCTGCTATGCTTAACCGCCCGGCCTCCTTGCCGATTCTGACCAGAAACTGGCGCACAGAGCTAGGATCGAACCCGCGCCTCTCTGCGCCAATCTTGGTACTCTGAACTTTAACCACTGGGCCACCCTGCCCATTCTTCAACCCATCAATAAACATACTAAACCTTCAGATTCTTAATCAAGCCTACGTGATGCATGTTTACTACAAACCACAGGAAGGGGGAACTGCTGTTATCACTTACATATCTCAATTCACACTTCTTAAACAGCCCTCTCCCTAAAGTTCCACTTCACTCTATTCCTAAATACTTCACTTTAGTTTTCACTTTACCTCAATCGCGTTAGTGGTCACTGTACTGATGCACAATCGCTATATTTTCAGTAGCTGATCCACTTTCTTCGAAGCGAATTATTTATGATAGGAACTCTACCTAAATCGAAAAGCTGATCCAATCCATTCCTTTGTTTATTCGTTTTTATTTCAGTTAGAATATGTAATTTTTACCTTTATTTACAGCAAGATATGTTCTGATATTATTCGATCATAAGATGATTATTAGTAACAATCAAGACAAGTTAATATCAATCTAGACAACAATTGACAAATAGACTCCTCAAAAACAATCTATTGAGAAAATGAACGTCTAGTGCAAATCACCATGGAGCACATGTATTAGTTTACCCTCACGCATCGTTTTCTCTGAGCCTATAATGTAGAAAACAACGGAATCTTCTTCCAATTGAAGACTATACCTAGATTAAAATGAGCTACAATGTTAGATGTACGTTGGACATACCGCTAGTGTAATCTCGGTCGTATGCGCTGGATATTGTCAATTTATTCATCATTTACATTTACGGCTGTTCACATTCGGGCTTTTGATGACCCGATCAATGTCAGCTAAAGGACAAGCGAGTGTTACACCATACTACGGATAGGAGACACCAATGACGTTAACAAAAAAATTTAATTAAGTTGAATAATCATAATAATTTAAAACGAGTCTATCAGCTAACGTGTATTAGCACAAGTGTGAAAAAAGAATTAAGTCAAAACAAGTGATTTAATTATATCCAGGGGTGGGCAGTAGCGCGCTACATGCAGCAACCGCTACATTTTCAGTAGCGGTAACGGTAGCGGTAGCGGCGCTACATTTAAGCAATTGTAGCGGTAGCACCCGCAACATTTAGAGCATGTAGCGGTAGCGACCGGTACATTTCAGAGTAGCGCTGCCCAGCTCTGATTATATCACAACCAATATTCATAAACCAAAGATCGTCACTCATGGATATCTCGTAGACCGCGAGTGCATCAATCTACTCGCCTGGGGCAATGACACTCAAGGTCACCAGTTAAAAAAAAAATGTTTCCTATTGCTTCTACTTGTTTTCCCGAAAATTTTGAGCTGGTGATGGAGGTGGTTTCCGAAACATGTTCGATGAAGATACAATTAATTTAATCTGCATTTTCACTGTTTTTAAATTCTCGGTGAACTTGTAATTCAAGCAGACTAATGATCACTACACAAGGCTTGTATCATTATAATATGTTATACTTGTATCATTACAAGTATAGAATATTAATCATTTCAATCAATATGACTGGTATATCTTTAATCATTACAATACATCAATCATACATCATCCTCGTATACTAAAATTAAATAAAATACACAAAGCCTATAGTATTATAATGCACTAGACGTATTCATGTACGCCTAGTGCGCTTGGTGGATTCACTAGAATACACCAGTTGATGGTGAGTCAGGAGAGCGGAGGCAGTCGTGTGAGGTCACGAATTTTCGTACCGGGTTTAGCGTCATATTTTTGGTGCACGGACCGCGGTTTCGTTCAGATCGACTTAAATTCCACTTTTAACTATCGCACTTCTAGTTATCATCATTTCTTGTTGTTTGCCTGTCTGCTACAAATCTTATAATCTATATTCAACATGCTTCTACCAGTAAAATCAATCTAAAATTTTGCACACTGGCGTAAAGTCGGTGACAATGCATAAATCAATTGACAGAATTACCAAATTGGCGATTTTTTATTATACATATATTTTTTCAGAATATATATTTTTTACATGTTTATCATCGGAGACACCGGCCTCTTCAGGAGTTCGGTTTTTAAAAATCACTTTTTAAATCCATATTTATTCTGTATTGTATTTCTTCCCAATCGCCCCCTATACGCCACGGGTGGCGCTGCTGATGTGCGACTCGCTCGTCAAACGGTAGCAATTCTTCCTATAATCGCTGTGTCTATCAACGGACACTCATGTCGGACAAAATAAACTTTTAATTCAACATCCAGTGTCATATGAAACTGAAGCAAACATGCGCTGAAGGCATAAAAATATGAAAACTTCTTTCCTTCACTTGGGCCTTTCTGAGCCTTATATATCTCTTCTAACAGCGATTTCATGCATTGCGAATATCTCTTTTCTCAATAGCAATTCTATGAAACACCTGAAAATTTAGTTCTAGACATTGGTTTGCTCTATTATTCCTATTCTCGCTCCTATACGGAATTAATTTCCATTTCCGTTGATAGTTTTCATTAATTGCCTCAGCCTGCCTCAGAAAAGGTGTTATATGATGAAATATAGCCTGCCTCAGAAAAGGTGTTATTTTCCATATATTATTATCAAAATGTTACTTCTCCATCGATTATTAAAGTTTAATCAAAGACTTGCTAAACGAATTATATTTCTGAAGTGTTGTAGCGTCAGTGAAATTTCTACTCAGTTATCTATGGTATTGGATTTAGGTCCTGCATGTTCACATTTAGTTCTTTTTTATATATGCTCTAAATATTCAGGTTTTATCGTTTCTTTCTTACGGTCTTAAGTACGTATTTTCAGTACTGCTTTCTAATGGCTAACAAATTTTGTGCACTGCTTTTTAGAAATTTTAGATTATCATTTTGATAATTAAATTATTTTGTTTCGCGTAATTGAATTTTATACATATGTCCTCACACACACTTTTTTAATTGAAATGAATTAGTCTAATTTCAAAATTTCTAGTTTCTGTTTTCTATTTACTTTTCTGTAATTGAACTAGCCTTAATTTTCACAAAATTTCTTTCAATGTGTATATCTTAAGTTCTGTCACTGACCTGTTGCATGTGAGTTGTAACAATGAATTCTATAGTTAATTCAAATGCTTATATTGATGCATTAATTAAGGATCCACTAAATTAAATCGAACTAGTTTATATTTATAAATGATTTTTAGCCGCCTCCTGTTCTGAAAAAAAACACGTCATTCTAAAGTGTCTGCGTGTGACCTTCCAATTTTATCATAAATAATTATTACAAAATTATTTTTATTTGTACAGTGACATATATTGTAGCATAAGTTATTGAAACTTACCATGCCTGCTGCAAGTTTGACAGGAATCAGGCAATGCAAGTTTAGTACTAGCAAACTTATGTCGTTTCCGAAAGGAAACAAGTATTTATTTTCAGTAACATCTGTGCAATCGAGAAACACAACATTCCAATTATGATGCTGAAATGTAGTCATATTTATTATTCTACAATTCAGTAGGTCGCGTGTGGCCCATGCTTAATAGATCGTTGAACTTGATCTACCGTTTTTACTACATCTTCCAGTATATTTCATCTGAGGCAATTTGACATAAATATGACATGGTCACAAACTGCACAGTGATACAACCATATTTTCAGTACATGGAGAACTACAATACAACAACCCTGATAGCAACGCTGTGAGCATATGATGGCGGTATAACTTCCGTGCGGGACACAGTTTACACGACACAAAATATCATTAGCAAAAACAACGATAACATAAGAAGAATGAAAAATGGTAAGTTAGCANGTAAGTTAGCACGATTGCATTCGGTAGTCTATGGAAAAGCCCACGTTGGGGCCATCGAGGAGTGCTGTATCTGCATAGTTGGTTTCTGTATCGTCGGTGACCACGTAGAGTGCAAACGGCTGAATGGAGGCTGTCAGGAAGTTGAATACAATTTAAAGCGTATTAGAATATCTCATCTTAAACAGTTTTTCCAGCACTCTAGATTTTCACTAATCTTATCACTATATGCAGATCACAAACCAAGTTTAATACACAATATATTTGCATAATTTTGTAAGATTAAGCATGGGAAATTAAGAATTTGTCAGAATATTTTGTCTTGCAAAGAAGTTAACCTATTCATACGCCATTAAACTCTGGATGACCGGCCAACACGTAAATATATCGTTTCATGTATCTAAATAACTGGTGTGATTTAGTTAAAAGGGAGTAGCCTCTCATTTGAAAACTGCCTTTCTCGGTACTCTACAGTATTAATTTCTACTCACATTCTACTTTACTGGGGAAATTAGTGCCGCAGTAACGATCAGCGGAGATGACGGCGTAGTTAGTATCCATTAAGGTACCGCCGGGGATCATCACGTAATCTGTGGTGCAATCTGCACTGCCAGCATAACCGGGAAGAGGACCTCCTGCAAGAGAGGAATTATGGCTATTTTCTTTTATAGTCAAAGCTCAATGAACAATACAATGACGTTTGCAAATTAATCAAATTTAACGGCCTATTAAAATGTTTAAGAATTAAGTAGGCAGGCATGACGCCAAACTTGAGAATCGTTCAAATAAATAGTTTTCTCACGCGAGTTATGAATATGATCAAGCGAATTCAAGGGATATTTTATAACTCTCCCTCTATTCGAGAAAGAAGTATCGCCAGTAACGGATATATTGTATAGATGTGGCATGTTACTCACCGGGAGGAAAGATACTCGCGTCCCCAGTCATGGAGAAGGTGTAGTCATTGGCCACCACGCTTGTTTTCGTGTAAGCGACGCTGCAGAAGCCAGACTGCGGCTTGATGCAGACGCCGTATGCCTGATTGGCCAACTGCGTAGTGGCTGCATTTGATGCATACGTTCAGGGTAATTGAGATAAAATATTCTCAAATATCAATGAACAACTTCTATATTCTATTTATGTGTCATTCAAGTTCATATATGAAGATGTTACTCTGAAGTGAAATTCGACCTTCATAATATCTTTATATAGAATTAGATAATACCACAACAAATCATGTTTCTCATTTAATCGCTAAACCCTCTAAATTTTCATGTTAGAACGTACCCGCAAAGACTTCTAATTAAATATAGAATCTCTAATAATTTTGTCAGTTGCAACATTTTACAACAAATTCATATGCCGTGAAGAATTTTATACGTATATAAGAAACTTATTCAAAATGTCCATACTTTTGGCATATAAGTCGGCACTTCTTAAGAATGGCTCAGTAATTTTGTTCGGTAAACTCGAAAACATTTATACTATTTCATCTTTACTAAAGGCAATAAAATGCAATATTAACTTGTACATCAAGTCAGAAAAACTTTTCCTAACAGTCTATCCTAAAAGTCAGTTGAGTGAAGTGGTAGACTACCAAATACCCGTGGGTGGAGTGTAGGGCGAGAAATTCGTTGCGTCGTAGTTGAAGCTTTTAATGGTTCCATATGTGTTGGTGAAGTACTGGAGGCAGCCCGCCGGGGCTGTCGAGAGCAACGCAATTTAAAACATAAATATGATGAATGAAGCTAAAGATCGTTTAAAGTGTTGTTAGCCACACGTTTGAGGCGCTTGCAAATTAGTCCGGAATTTTTCAAATAATTTAAATGATTAACCGTTTGCATTTCATCACAATTATTTCATAAAACTCTATACATGCTCAGGATTATCAATAGTACTTAATCAAATAAACAGCATTATCGACGGAATTATTTACTCTGACATAATTATACGGTCACCTCGGTACTGGGAGTTGCACTCTATTTGTGCGACAGAGATGCTCCACTTGGCCCCCGGTGCTGAGGTGTCAACGTTGATTGTAACGCTCCCAAAATCCGGTGTTACATCCAGGTACACTAGAAAATGTGATATTTATCATATTGCCTTTCCGCAGTATCAATTAGTGGGACAAAATATTCATAACCTCAACTGAAATAAGCATTTTAACAGCAAAAGTCAATAGTTTGAAATGTTTCTCAATAACAGCATTCGACTCACGATGTTGTCCAGAATTTACCCCGCAAATCTGGGGGATTTTCGTCATTGCTCCGGATATTTGCATGAAGTCCGCGGCACAAACTCCCTCCGCATTTGGCTGGGCTAGTATGAAGTCTTTCAAGTCCAGGCGAATCTGGCAGATGTTGTCATTAACAGGATAAACTTTGTGTCTGCAAGCACCAGTAGGAATGCTTGTAGCAGAAGGATACCCAGGATTCTGGAATGAAGTTCCGTTGATGTCCGTTGATAATTCACATGTGCGTGGAACTGCAAAAACAGTAAAATAATGTTGCTTTGAAAGAACATTTCTATCATCAATCCCTTCAATTAGTCAAAAAATCATAAAACCAAAGTTGAAAAGAATAAATTAAATTTCAGACACATTATTTGATGATTCTTCCTCGAAACTTTTCTATTGTGACACTCAAAATAAAAGGGAGAATTATTTCCACCATATGATGCAGTGTTCCTCACCACCTTAAATATTTACTGTCAAAATAGAAGCTTTCTTCTAGCATAAATGCGGCGTAAAATCGCTCATACCACATATATCATCAAAGAAGCTTCTAAAACCGCTCCAAACGATTAAAATAGGAGCTGTTGATTAACTCAGCAAATAATTTTCCGAAAAGGTTTTCATGCTATGTGAATTATAAATTCGACAATGATCATTTTCGATGAATATTGCTTTTTCCCGAAGAGACTATGTATAATTTTACAGGTGCAAGTTCATCAGGTATACTGAGACTCACGTCGAGGATCCCGGTCGTCCACATCATCAATTTCCTGCGTCTGTTCCAGGCCTTCGATCTTCGCCGGCGTCGCTCGCCCGACCACAGCCAGCAGCGCCCAGCAGGCGATAGCGCACGAGTAATACTTCATACGGGTCATCTGCGTTGCGGAATATAATACTTTACACGTTTCATTTCATACTTTACATGGACTGTTTTTTCACGAAATCAATATGCTGGAAGAGTGTGTCATTTTACCGGAACATTAAGCTTAGATATAAAAATTGAGTTGTACTGTTATCTTATGAAGAGAAAAAATCCGGCCAAGCTATTTTGGGAGATGGTGCACGGCATGTGCATAGGCAAGAAGAAATATATTCACTTAAGTCAATGGTTTTCCAAGACTTCATTGATATTTGTGTCGATGGCCAGAAATATCATTTAAATTAATAGTGGTTCTGTTACCAAACGAATCATTACCTATGATGGGGCCTTCACTGAAGTTCATTAACGTAATATAAATTGGTTTTGGTCATTACTGTAGAAAGAAAACCCTGAACCGTGATAGCGACTTTACGCGACATGACTTTTATCGTGGATTCAAACCCAAATACACTCGCTGTTGAACCAGAGACTATTTTTTTAATCTGCCGCATATAAATCGATTTTTCTGATACCTCACAAATTCATTAACTAATCCTCCCGAGCTACATAACCTCACTCAATTATTCCTCCCAAATTACCAAATCTTCACTCACTACTCCTCCCGAATACAAAAATAGCTCATCAAACCTTCTTTATTCAACAATGAACTCCGTTGAACCTGTGGGATCGTGTGATTTCTGATTTCATCAGAAAATCTGAAATATAAAATACTGGCAGTATACAATACATATACAAATTAAATTTTCTGTGGCATTTTCAAAAGCCAGACCAAAAAAATGTTATATCCTGAGATGCACAGGGATTGTTCGTTGTCGGTGAGTTCAAAAAATTATTTTAGTGATATTTTTTTTACTACCCTCACTTTTTTAGCTCAAATATGAAAATGCTTAATTTTAAATAAGCGTGCAATTTCTTAGCGAATATCTCGCATCAAAATACTTTAGCGGTAAAAAATCACATTAACATGTAATTTTCCACCAGCAATTTTCAATTTTTTCCCATATCCAGCTGAACCCTAAAATTCGTGACTTCAAAACTTAACCTAAATTTGATCAGTAAAGGGCGCAGTACGCGATGCATGCATATTTAAAAAGTTCTCCTGTTTAATACACTAAATTCCTCTTAGTTGCCAAAAATGCAGCAGAATGATTTTGAATGCGTTGTTGGAGTGAATGGCAATAGTTTATCCACAAGTGAATGGCCTAAGTTAATCTAAAACACCTGTAAAAAGTGGGATTATCTCTCAGCATTCTATTTCTTCTTTTCAGTTTTAAAATATGAATGATGTGAAGTTGCACACTGCCAAAAAATAAAATACAAAAATTAAATTTTTATCTGATAAATAAGTTGTGATCTTACTTCTACTTAATCTAAGCCATTACGACGTACTATTAACCCACTAACAACTCGTGACCTAAACTTATATTGAAAGAATTTATTTTCTTTCTTGACTTTTCAGGAAGATGCCTAATAATATTGCCACATAAACAAAAAACAATTTCATCGTGATGCAAGTAATCATAACAATTGTGATGACATTTTGAAAGTCATTTATCACTGAATATCTGGACCGTGCAATTTATTTATTCGAATTCAATACCATAATCACTTTCAACAAAAACTCTCTCTTATGAGCTTTCTGTGAGTATATTTTAAAATGTAGATTTTAAATATAAGAATTTATTTCAATAAAATATGAACCTATAACAGTATCCACATCCCTCTGGATAATAATTTAAAGTAGGGTCATCGCAATAAAATGTAGTCACTATTTATCAATTAATTTTCTCATTTAAGGACCAAATGTAATCACTTTTGCATTTTGCAAACCAAGAATTGCCGACGATTTTTTCAATAATGTGCATTGTGTTTCGAATATCAATGGACAAAAGCGGTATGATGAAATCTTTTTACAGAGACACAGAAAACCCACTATGCTCACTGCATTAGACGCTTTCATGAAATAATTTTTTATCTTCTTCGCTGACCACATCTCGTTGTCATATCAAAGACAGCTGGCACTTTTCCTCAAGTGATAGCGAGAAAACTTACGGAAATCTAATATTTTCCTAAGGAGGAGGACATATTTACACTCGGGAGGACAATAAAACAATAAAATCATGAAATCTATATGCACATTGTTATTTGTGCTAAATTATTTTTAACTTGTGTCTTTTGGTGAAGAAACTGGCAGCGGTACTAATTCAAATCTATTACGTCAGTGATATGATTTTCAGGGCGAATTTCACTAGATCTATGGGTGAACATGGATAAGAAAATTATCTGACCCGCTACTTCAAGTCCATACTTGCAGTACGACAATAGCTCGGTTAACCTGTTTTTTTTCGGGAGGGACCAATTAGACTGCAAATTGTGGCGCAATATGAAGTTGGCGTTTTTGACAAATACGCTTTTTTACTTTTCTTCTGTCTATAAAAATTACTAATTTTTTCATAGACGACTTCAAATTCTCTTAGGATATTTTGAAACCATGGGTATTCAAGACACGAGCTCTAATAACGACTCACTCTTAATCACTGCACTGGAATAACCATTGTATATTATCGCTGCAAGGCTTCAACACTCAAAATCCATGTGACATTTAGGCTGGTTTAGTTGTTTCCATTTAACCGTATTAATATCATAGTATGTTTACTGAACAAATGAAACTGCCATACACTTCGAACTTATCAGATTCATACTGTATTTATTTCTATACTTATTTATTTGGTTAATGCGGGTGTTAGACTCCAGGTGCATTATTGGTGTTCGAGCAAAACAACATATAAATAAAATATGACAAACATAACAATAACAACCGTTATTTCAGCAAGCTTGCATTCTGTAGCCAATGGAGAAGCCCACGTTGGGACCATCGTCGAGTGCTGGATCTGCATGGTTGGTTTCCGTCTCGTCTGTGACCACGTAGAAGACGAACGGCTGCACCAGGCCTGTCAATATGAATATACTTATGAAGTAGTATTTCGAAATGTTGCATACGAAACACTATCCTCTGCACTCGTGTCTAGAAGTGAGGTGAAAAATTTAATTTTACTCTGTGCTGGGAATTTCCTCACTCTCTTCACTGTTTCAAACGGAGATCAAAATATATCGCCAGTTTTGCTCGTCCAAATTCCTACTTACTTTCAACTTTACTCGGGAAGTTTACGCCGCAGTAGCGATCAGCGGAGGTGGCGGGGTAAGTTGTGTCAGTTATGGTCCCCATAGGAATCATCAAGTAATCCGTTGTGCAGTCTGTACTGCCAACTGATCCGATTGCTCCTAAAAATTAAAAATCAAGAGTTTTAGCGTTAATGCTCAGTGACACAATATCCTATAAACACTTGAAATTAACTGTCTCTTGTAAGCAATCTCATATTATAAGATTGCGTTAAAAAGCATCACAACTAGTAGATATGAATTTATTCATTCAGATCCGGGAAATGGAATGAAATCTAATTTAATAAATATTGCGGGTGTTTAATATAATATTTATTTGATCTGTGCATACTTTTCGCCAAATATACTTGCCTATGGGCAGTACACTCGCATCACCACTCAAGGAGAAGCTGTAGTCATCGGACACCCCAGAAGTTTTCGTGTAGGCGACGCTGCAGAAGCCAGACTGCGGCTTGATGCAGACGCCGTAAGCCTGGCTGGCTAGCTGCGTGGTGGCTGCATTTGATGCATACGTTCAGGGTAATTGAGATGAAATATTCTCAAATATCAACGAATAACTTCTATATTCTATTTATGTGCCATTCAAGTTTTTATGCAGATGTTTCTATTCGATTTATTATCTAGTTCGAACTTGAAATTATTTTAATATAGAATTAGATAATACTACAACAAATCATGTTTCGCAGTCAGGCGCTACACTCTCTAAATTTTCATGTGGGAACGTGGGAAGACTTTTAATTAAACATGGAATATTTAATAATTATGTAATTTTCAACATTTTGCAACAAGTTCATATGCCGTGAAGAATTGATATATAAAAAACTCATTCAAAACGTCCACACTTTCAGCATTTAATTCAACACTTCTTCAGAATGGCTCGGTAATTTAGTTGAGGAACTCGAAAACAATTGTATTATATTATCTTTTCTATAAGATATAAAATGCAATATTAACTTGTACATCAAGTCAGAATTCCCGTAACAAAAAGTCTATCCTAAAAGTCAGGTGTGTGAACTGGTAGACTACCAAATACCCGTGGGTGGAGTGTTGGGTGAGTTGAAGGTTGTAGCGTCGTAGTTGAAGCTTTTGATGGTTCCATGTGTGCTGGTGAAGTACTGGAGGCAGCCCGCCGGGGCTGTCGAGAGCAACGCAATTTATAACATAAAAAATATAACTCAGTACTCACGGCAGTGAGTGACAGAGAGCGCTTTTCTCGTGCATAAATCAGTTTTCATTGCGATTAGTACAGTGCATTAGAGCTGAGATGTCGTATCTTTAATACAGGCATATGCCCGCTTCTTAAAATCGACGAAAACGTGAAGTCACGGACGGACAGACGGACATGGCGAGCACAATAGTGCATTTTTTCTATAAAGAGAAAATGTGCTAAAAATAATGCATAAAGCTAAACCTTACACCGATTGCAGGTAAATTCATAACTGGCATCCAGTCATGAATAAGCCGTCTAATAGGTCAGCCTAATGCAGATCGTTTATAGTTAGTATTTATAGTATTGTTAGCCAAACGTTTAAAGTGCTTTATAATTAATCCAGATTTATTCAAATAATTTAGTTGATTAATCGTTTGCAATTCATCGCAATTATTTCATAAACCTCTATATATGCACAAAATTATCAGTAGTACCTTATCAAATAAACAAAATTATCCACGAATCTTTTTAATTTAACTAAATTATACGGTCACCTCGGTACGGGGAGTTGCACTCTATTTGTGCGACGGAGATGCTCCACTTGGCCCCCGGTGCTGAGGTGTCAACGTTGATTGTGACGCTCCCAAAATCCGGTGTTACTTCCAGGTACACTAGGAAATGTGTTATTTATCTTATTGTCTTTGCGCAGTATCAATTAGTGGGACAAAATATTCATAACTTCAACTGAAATAAGCATTTTAACTGCAAAAGTCAATTGTTTGAAATGTTTCTCAATAACAGCATTCGACTCACGATGTTGTCCCGAATTTATCCCGCAAATCTGGGGGATTTTCGTCATTGCTCCGGATACTTGCATGAAGTCCGTGGCACAAACTCCATCCCAATCTGGCTGGGCTAGTATGAAATCTTTCAAGTCCAGGCGAATCTGGCAGATGTAATCATTAACAGGATAAACTTTGTGTCTGCAAGCATCAGTAGGAATACTTGTAGCAGAAGGATACCCGGGATTCTGGAATGAAGTTTCGTTGATGTCCGTTGATAATTCACATGTGCGCGGAACTGCAAAAACAGTAAAATAATGTTCATTTAAAAGAACATTTTCATCATTCATTTATCATTTTTGCTCACGCATGGCATTAAATACTTTCGTTATGTCAATTGTTGTCGCATTGCGTTATTAGTCGTTAAGACCAACGAAAGGAGAAAGACTTGCTATAGTTTGAGACTCAGCGATAGCTGTAGAAACTTTGTAACGTCTTGAATCTGTGACACACCAGTCATGCCCTGATCTTTAAAGTTAACACCATTATTTTATCACATTATAGCTATTATCACTAATTGTTACCATATTATCTTACGATGTAACTGTCCCATACCGTGGCATTTATTGTAGCAATAGAAAGCATGAAATTCTCGCCATCATGATGCTAATGCCTAGTGATATAATAAAATCTTTATCTTTGGAATAAAAAATAATAAAAATTTGGGGTAAATAATTAATTGTTTTGTGATAAAATTTATTTTCTGCCTTTATTTTTCATTTCGTTGTTTGACGATGCAACGCTAAATAATACTTCTCCCACATACATTATCCGAAAAAATCCCTTCAATTTGTAAAAAAACATATAATAAAGTTGAAAATATTAAGATCAATTTCAGACACATTATTCGATGATTTTTCCTCGAAACTATCCTACTGTGACACTCAAAATATAAGGGAGAAATGATGCAGTATTTCTCATCACCTTGAATATATATTGTAAATAAAGAAGCCTTCGATTAGCATAAACACAGCGTAAAATTGATCATATCAAATATATCATCAAAGAAGCTTCTAAAACCGCTCCAAACGATCAAAATGGAAGCTGGTGATTAAATCAGCAAAGAATATTCCGTAAATATTTTCATTCCATGTGAATTATAAATTCGACAATGATCACTTTCGTTGAATATCGGCTTTTTCAGGATGAGAATATGCATAATTTTACAGGTGCAAGTTCATCTGATATACTGAGACTAACGTTCAGGATCCCGGTCGTTCACATCATCAATTTCCTGCGTCTGTTCCAGGCCTTCGATCTTCGCCGGCGTCGCTCGCCCGACCACAGCCAGCAGCGCCCAGCAGGCGACAACACACGAGTAATACTTCATACGGGTCATCTGCGTTGCAGAATATAATACTTTATATGCTTCATTTTATTCTCTATATTGATTGTTTTTTTCACAAAATCAGTATACTCGAATAGTGTGTATTCATTTTGCAAGAACATGACGCTTAGATATAAAACTTGAGTTGTACAGTTATCTCGGGAAAAGAAAAATTCCGGCCATGCATTTCTGGGAGATGGAGCACGGCCATGCAGGGGCAAAAAAAAAATTCATTCACTTATTCTGTTATTCACTTAACTTAATGGTTATCCAAGACTTCACTGATAATTGGATCGATGGCCTGATATATCATTTAAATTAATAATGGTTATGTTATCAAACGAATCATTACCCATGATGGGGCATGCACTGAAGTTCGTTAACTTATTACACAGTGGTTTTGGTTATTAGAGAGAAAACCTGAGCCGTGCTTGCGGCTTTACGCGACTAGACTTTTATTGTTGATTTAAACTCAAATAAACTCGCTGGTGAATCAAAGACTATTCTTTATTTCACCTGGTGCATATAAATCGATTTTTCTGATACCCACGAACTTGTTAGCTAATCTTCCCGAAATACCTAATCCTCACTCACTATTCCTCCCAAATACAAAAAAGCTCGACCAAACCTCCTATACTACTCAACAAAGGACTACGTTCAACCTGTGATTTCACCGTTCAACCTGTGTGATCCGCGATATTTCTGATTTCATCAGAAAATCTGGAATTAAAAATGTTGGCAATATACTGATAAGGTAGGTAATGTATTGCACAAATTTGGCATTTTTAAAATCCAGACTTCAATCAAAAAAAAAGTTAGTTATATCTTGAGATTTACAGGGATTTTTCGTTGTCTTTGAATTCAAACAATTATTTTAGTGATATTTTTATTAACTCTCCTCACTTTTTAGTGGAAAATGTGCAAATGATAAATTTTAAATAAGCGAGCAAGTTTTTAGCGGATTCCTCTATGAACTGTGATTAGTAGGGCAACATGGGACAGCGACCCCCCCCCCTTTTTTTAACTAAATTTTTGATAAAGTTTTAATTGATACGAGGTGGTCCTTTGTTTTGTTCAAAGGTACAACCAATGAGGAATGTATGATGTGAATTAGACGCCTATAGAGTTATCCAATTTTTAATTACACACTATTTTGTAAAAAGTGT